TATATCTCTAAATAATGTTTAAATCTTCAATTAAATTTTTGACATAGACAATTTTTTTTAATCAAAATACTCACTGAAACGTTAAAAAAAAAATTAAAACTTAAAAATAAAATATGCAGGGCTTGTGATTTTAAGTGTTTTTTTTTCTTTTTGCATTTCAATGATATTTTGGTTAAAAAAATTGTTCATGATAAAAAAAATTAATAGAAACGACATATTAAAAACTTAAAAATTATTTAAAAACATAATAAATATAATTAATAATATAAAAATAAATTAAAAAATTAGACTATTATATAAAAACAGATCAATTTATTTATCTTAGAAATTATTTAACATTATTATAGCTTTATCTTGTGATTATAAGAAAGGTTGCTGAGGAAAGAAGATGGTGAGAATTACGGATAAAAATAGGCCACCAGCCTGTTAGCACGTGCCACGTATGCAAATATTACTGGATAGAATAACGGTAATTTTATTGAAACATTTATTCACTGAATTTTTGGATTGTTTAACGAAAGCAGACATGATTCCACTTTGTAACGAAGACATGCTTTACCCAGGAGCTTTAGTGTCTGCAAAGTAGGCTACCATAACCAAATCATATTAATTTATTTATCTTTAATTATTTATTCATTTTCTCGTATTCAAAATTTAAGAATGTATAATAAAGTTTTGTCCAAAATTTTACTATTTTCCCTAAAGATAGAAAAGCTGTCGTTGCATGTCGTCATTGACAAAGTATGAAAATATAGCAGACCACGCATTCGTTTGCCCCGTCCAACGTTTTTCTTGGACCTTCCCTTTCCAACATTTCATGGAAATGGGCAACAGAACTGCTTCAATTAGTTCATTGAAGAATTTCAATTTAAATAAATGTAAAGTGTCATGCATTTTGTGTATTTTAAGATTCATGTTGAACTTTTTTCTCAAGTGCGACTATCTTTTTTATGTTAGATCTTGACTTCAAGATTTAGGCTTCTTAGCTCTATCCAAAGAAGAAAATCGAAGAACTGGAAGGCCATGATGTGCGTATATTTCTGTTTACAAGAAATTTTTTATCATATTTTATGAGACAAAATGCTGCACTCATTCTGCAGAAGAAAAAAATCACCAAAAGAAAAATGTCAAGCTTTGTGGGTTCATTCAAGTCTTTTAAATTTTTAAGTGGGATCAATCAAGACATTAAAAAATTACTCTAAAAGTTACCAAATTAGAAATCCACTCCAGTAATTTTTTTTTTTTTTTCAACATGGTGGGGGTACTGATCACTTGACCCCATAGGTAAAGCCATTGCGTAGACAAAAAGAAGGAAGAAAAACTTGGAAGAACTGCGACTTATCCTTACGTTTAATGCCAACTTAATCAAATTTACCGGCTGTTAATGCCAACTTAATCATAGGTTTCGAAATTACTGGCTGCTGATTTGATTTTTAAGCCATTTCAATCAAAGAACTATTGTGAAAAAATATATATTTAATTATTGAATTGAAATTTCGTACGTATTTCAATCGTCTTATGAAACGTCATGCGTAGATATTATTAATTATAAAGAAACTTTTGGTCAGTAAAAATCCGTCCGTCTACCATTGATATTATCTTACACATTATTAGATATATATTGTTCAAAGGGGAAATTTCTCAGTTTTGCAGAAACTAGTAATTTTGATTTTCAAAGTATTTGTAAGGGAACGAACGTTTCTAACATGGGGTGTGATTAAGGGATTACCAGTTGATAGATTGCTGTGTAGTAGGATTTAGGAAATCTAAGAGATATGCATTCAGATTTTAGTTTGACACTAAGAAACTTCACTTTAACCGAACTTATCAAAATCAAAATCGGAACTCAAATAGAACAAATTATATAGGAATCAAATTGTTTCGATTTTAAAGGGAAAAAAAAAAAAAACTAAAGTTGATTTTGTACCAATCCTGTAAAAATTATGAAAAAAAAAAATTCTAAAGTGACCTAAGGTTGAATTGGGTTGCGTTGTTTTTTAAAAACTATTGCATGGAAAATGTTTTACTCATGAGTTTTTAATACCAAGAACTCCAAAACAAAATTGAGTTGTTGAGAGAAAAAATAGGTCACTTGAGGAAATGGTCATTCAAGAATAGTTTAGGTATCTATGGACAAAATTGTTACTCAAGTTTTTTTAGGGACTAGTTGGACACTTTAAAATGTCTTTTATACCTCAAATGATGTTTCAAAAAACTAGCTAAAATTTATTTTCAAAACCCCATTTTTGCATCTAAGGTAGTAGATACCATTTGGTATACCAGATGGTCCATATCGAATCAAAAGATCCAATTTAAACACTCAAATCATAGTCATAGACCATCTGGTATCCTGGATGGTCGCAAACCGGATCAAAGTAAAAAACAAATTCACTCTTTTTGGCTTGATTATTCTTGTTGTCTCTTGTTTTTCTATGTGTTTTATGTCCTTCATGTTTTAGCATGTGTAGGATTTGGTCCCAGTTGTCCTTATTTATTTCTTTTTAAAAAAAACTCTATCTACTTTTGCCATATAAGATGTATGAGACAAATTTATCTTTTATTTGGCAATCACCTATATAAACACGATATAATTTGGTATAAATCATCTGACATACAAATTAATTTTGTAGTCTAAAAGCATAATACTCACTAAAAGTTGCTTTTTCCATTTTTAAATATAAACAATTTCACTCTCACATTTAGATGGTTATGTAATCTTGTATAAAATATATAAATTTATACTTTAATCATTTCAAACATCATTCTTGATTGCATCAAATCTTGTATATAAACAAAGGTAGATTATTTCCAACCAAAAACTTGAGCTTTTCATCTTGTAATCTTTTCTTTGTTTGTATGAGTTCTTAGGTCTTTCTTTTTTTTAGTGAAAATTGCTAACCATTAAACCCTAAAATTAATAGAACCCCAAAAATTTTTTTTTAAAAAAATAAGAAACCATAACTTTTTTATTGCTAAAATTTAGTTAATCAACTTTTTATCTCGCTATTTCAAAAGAAAAGAAAAGAAAAGAAAAAACTCCCTGAATGGAGGACACAGATTTATATAATTCTATTTAAAATGTGTTTAACATAATTATAACTCTGTCTCACATTTATATGAAAACTTGTCGAGGGAAAGGAGATGATGGAGAGGGAAAAAAATGCTGTTAAACAATTAATATTCCACAATTGTTCTAGTTAAATTTTGTAAAAACATACTGTGAATTTATTCAAAAATCCATGAAAAAACTACAGCTGTACTCCAGTGAAAATGCCTAATTTTTTGCGAGTATAATTAGTCTTGTAGGCTGATATGCGTAAAAAGTCAACTAAAAGTTTTGGAAGATGCATCCCCCCACATACTTCTTGCTCTCTGTTGGAAAAAGCTGTACTTTTATTTTTATTTTCAAGCACAACAATTTTTTTTCTTTTCTTGTCTTTTTCAATGATATTTTCTTGTTAGTTTTTTGAATATTAAGAGCAAATCTATTTTTTCAACTCTGTTAAAAACATTGACTTTAACAAACACATTCTTAGGATCTATTTAGTCCTCTGACGTCTGTGGAATAGTGACGAGGAAGGTTTTCCCTCTTAATTTCCTGATGATCGATAAAAGATCTAAATAACTAGAATTCAAAGGAATTACAAAATTTAGCATATTTTAATTTGATTCTTCTTTCTAAGCAAAATTTTCTTTCTTTTCTCTCCATAGTACATATATAAGCAGAAAAAACTCTTCTTTTTTTTTTTTTTTTTTTTTTTTTGAGAAGGTTCAAAACAACTAACTTAATTGTATAATTGTATCAAAATTATTATTCTCAATTAATGTTTTGCGGTTCGACTGACATATAATGAGCTACGGATCCACCCAAGCGCCAACTGGGCTGAGCCCATCAATTTGCTAGCTTGAGGGGATTGTGCTGGCCCAACTCATATCATTGTAACGATACTGATGGAAAACCCACTAAGTAATACCTAGATAAATTCCTCAGAATATTATTTTTCAAATGAAAAACCCACCAAGTAGTACCTAGATAAATTCTTCTCCAAAAAGAGACTACTAATTATCAGTAGGAGGCTCTTTAATCCAAGTAGGAACATAAGCATTGCTCTTTATCAATGCCCTTGATAGCACTGACTATCAATTATGGACTACAAAATTGCTAGTCCTGGGATAATGATTGACTACCAAGTTTCTAAAGATCTTTTGAACGAAATTATATAAATTCTAAACGACCAATTCTTGGAGACTTAATAGTTAATGTTATATTCAATCCAAGAAAAAAAATGTTATATTGGTTTTAGCTCAAATAATAAACGGATTTTTTTTCATATATATATATATATATATATTGAATTCCTAGACTATTTTAAACTCATTTTTTGTTGTTTGGTCGAACGTACATACAAAACAGATACAATTACTCAAAGTGTTTTTTTCATATATAAGGATTTGAAATCGAGAATATTTATTTAAGTGATGAGAACCTCTTCCGCTCAAGCCGGACCTCTTAAATTATAATTTATAATTTTAGAATTGAATATAAATTTTTTTTAAAAAAAGAGTAAAGATTCGAATCATGGTGAATTGGCCATTCTAAAATATTACCAACAAGATGAAAGCAAGCCATAGCTTCTTTTGGTCATCACTCAAATAATTATATTACACATCCATATTTGACCACTGGCCAACCCAACAAAAGCACCTAACTCTCAAACCAAACCCAAATGCTACTCCCAAACAGAACAAAACTAGGCCGTTGAAATTTTAACTCTTACTTTTTCTACGCATGCAAAACTCGAGGGTTATTTAGGGCAGAGAGGCACAACTCTTGAACATGATCATGTAAAACTTCTTAGGGTTTCACTGCAAGTAATCAGTTTTCGTACGTCAAAACTAAGTCTATATTCTCGTATAAAACTGTCCAAAGGAATGACTTGGACTGTCTCCAATGTCTTCATTGCAGGATTCCCATTTGGCATAATCTTCCAAAACTTCAATCACAAAACTCGTACTGCTGTACGATGAAAGACAGGCAAATTCTCCAGTAAATCATAAGTTAACATGGATGCCCTAGGCTTTGCCGGCCGGTCCGAAAGTCCCTCAGGCAACGGTGCCGGTGTTGTTCTCTCACATGTGCCGACCCACTTAGATTGCATATATTTGTGCTTCCTCCATGGACCCAAGTGCATCTTCTTCTCCTTCATGCACTTTTTAGCTGCTGAACATAGTATTTTGATCAAGGCTTTTAGCCTTTCTGCTTTGCCTACAAATACTTCTGGTAACTGGTTAATTAGGTGATTGTATTCTTCATTTGCTTTCGCCATCTCGAATTCGGCTCGAAAATTCAACTCAATCACCACTCTCACCTCTCCTTTCTTTGAATTCAATTTCTCCACCACTTCCAAAAAAGTGTGTTCCCCTGCGTAAATTTGCAGAAAAATGTTTAGATCATCCATGTATATGTACCTCATTAATTCATTGCTAACATTTTTGTCATAAAAGGACAGAAAGAAATGAATTTGTTCTACCTGAAGGGATGCCTTCAGATCTCTTCCACTTAGACTTGCAAATGGCACAATTATAACCTTCATTTTGAAGCCGGATTGAAATTTCTCTTTGCAAGCAATCCCGGCAAGCTCCGGCCACCGATTTCCCACACAAACAATACATGCCAACCCCATCAATTTCCTTCAGAGTAACTTTTGTAGCTTGACGAATTTTGGCCTCAAGAGAACTTGTCCTATACAATGTTGCCTGCAAAAGCAACCATAACATAATCAATACCAACTTCCATTGCGCATAATTAATTCTAACACCGACATTAAAGTACCCTTAACACATTACAAATTAAGAAGAACATGAAAATTCACCTGAAGAAGCTGGTTTTGTGTATCCCAAAATTTTTTATTCTCTTCAATATTACAAAGACTAATCTCATCTTCATCCTCCTCAATATAATCACCTGACCCACATGAACTCTCAGATGACCCTTCTTGTTCTTCCAAAAATCCGAAAACAATGTCAGTAAAATATGCCGGATCGTCTGAAAATCCGACATTCTCCTCAAAAGTCCGGTAGTTTAGAGGTATTCTGGCTATGACTTGAGCCATGTAATTCTGTAAACAAACAAGGCTTTGAAAAAATTGATGTTTCACTTGTGGTTTGAAAAAGTCCCTAAATGCGCAACTTATTTATAGTAGGATTTTGAGTCCTACGTGGGACCAACCTGTCCTAAGTGGACGAACTAGACGCCGCGTAGAAGGTTGTCTTTTCCTTATGTGGCAAAATTTCATTGGAAGTTTGAGCAAGTTTATTTCAGTGGCAGCTGTGTTCCACGTCAGTCTGAGCAATAATTGTTTTAGCTAGATAAGTATGGATATGCTCAAAATATTCTATCCTTGGGTACTACCATTTGATAGACTATTAGCCATGTTCGTGCACGTTTAATCAGATAATCACATTAGGAGTAATCATTAACTAATTATAAAATTTTGCGAGGGTTTATCCTAATCTTGGGAGCTTGTGTGGTTAATTGTAATTAAATTAGACAACTAGAAAGTTTCCATGTGGAAAATAGCTTTGACGTGGCATTGTTCAAGGAGGTTCTTTGATGGGTTTATCCTTTTTTTTTTTTTTTTCCAATCCAAAATGTGTAGGGTCTAAAATAATAATGAAGTTTATTCGCATATGCCATTGCCCATAGTTCATGCATGTTGCCACTTGCAATAGAATATAAGGATAATTTTAATAGGATATTCCAAATTTTAGTTTTATTTTATTTTGTGTTACCAAAATGACCTAATAGATCATAATTTTAAATAACAATCGTTATATTATATAATGGTTATTATGTAATGGTTTTAGAACAATTTTAAAAATTAGATTTTTTTCTCTTCGATAATAAGAAGTATTCTCAAATCAATTTATAATTTAGTAAAAATTAGATTTTTTGTCCAAACAATTTTAAAAATCTATATTTGATTTGACTTAATGCATTAAAAAAATTGATAAATTTCACTAAATGTTATTTTTGATATTTGAATCCAAACAATTAAGAAAGGAAATAATTTTTCTTAATTACTGACCAACATTTTAAAGTTATATTTGTAGTCATTTAATTAGTAAAACGATGGAGAAAAAAACTTGAACAACTTTTAACGAAAGTAGAGATGTTGATTTGATTCAATGTGCATAACTTTTAGCCGCAAATAAATTGAACTTATTACGTGTGAGGTTTCCTACAAGACAAAGTAGTTGTTAACTATACAAGAGAAACTTGTCTTGTCATTTTAAAGGGTAAACATGACGTTCTGGTTGATGATCTTCTTGATTTATGGAAAGCTCAATACAAGGGGCTCAGATGGTTTTCAACCTAGTGTTTCTTTCGTTGCAAATTATCTCGATCAATTTCATTTTGAAGCGTAATTGTGAACATGGAAACCATTTTTCCTGAAAAAGGAAAACAGCGATTTCATTATAATAAACAAAATACAAATAAATATATATATATATTTTTTAGATTATGTTAATCTAACGAGGAAAAAAAATGAAGTTCAAACCCTTTGAATCAGATAGTTGGAGCTGTTTTAGCGTTACTCTTTCAAGGATTTCTTTATTCCTAATTTGTTAGAAATTTCAGGAATGTTTCCGATTACATTCGTTGAATTATGATACTCTAGCATACATTTGCCTATTCAAAGATTGTTAAGACACTGATCCTAATCTTCAAAAGAAAAGAAAAACATTAATCCTAGATTTCCAAGAAATGGTCATTTCCAAGAGGCTACATTTTACTCTTTCAACATGATTAATTTTTTTAACCCATATAACATAATTAATCATGAAAAGAAAACTTAATGCATTAAAAGTTAAAATCACATCCTCATAGGTGTTTTTCTTTCCTTTTCCTTTGTTTTTAAAGGTAAAAACAAGACAAGAAAGGACTAGTATATATAGTTCGGCCTATAGAATATGCTGGAATTTCGAAAAAAATTGAAAGCATCGGTGAATCATTTAATGGCTCATATGCTCGATTCAATGGATGATTTAGCTCCTACCAGCTGTCTGAAAATGTAGTTAGACACTTTTCAAAATATTATCGCACACTCGCTAAAACAAATGCTAAAAAAATGTGGAACACGTTTATGACATGCATACGATTGCACAAGATGCTGCTCTTAAATTTGATAGATTTTTTTTTTTTTTCTTTTAACAAAAGGGCATATTAGGTAGTAATCGATCAATTTCTGTAACATATATATAATTGCATATTTTTGCTTTCCATGCTGGACAAAATGAGTGCAGCAATTCAATCCACAGTTTGATAATGATTATTTCTCCACAGCAATTGATCTCCTCGTATCTTGAAACGTTGAGCCTCAAGGTACCATGAAAAGGTCAATTAAGATCCACTTGTTCAACAAAGTAATTGATTATGGGAAACACAAATCCTTGCAAAATTGAATAAATTCCACCATAAAAATGGATTTGAAGTTACAGGGACATGCACTCAACTTGCATTTTGATAATATACGGATATGTTACCTATGATTATATTAATATTTCTCTTACACAACAACCACATATGAGTGTCTGGATTTGTATCATAATATTTGGAGAGAAATTTTATAATATACAAAGAGTAACTCAGTGGTATGTACGGTAGTTATTTCTGAGTTCACTTTGAGGAGAGAGATAGATACACAAAAAGAGAGAGAGAAAAATATGAGAAAGAAAATAAAAAATTTGAGCGGACGTATAAATCTTTTTATCACTTTAGAGTGAGTATAGATGTAATTTTTTTTATGTGTCTATCTCTCTTCTCAAAGTAGATACAAAAAATAATTATTGTACATGTCACTAATTACTCCTTATATATTATAAAATTTTCCCTTACGAGAAATTTTTTAAATTACGTAACAGCAGATATTTTCCCACCATACTACAAGAAATAATTTTTTTTAACGAATTAGTTAGCCAAGTCACAAACTAGGCAATAGCTTCTTTTTATACAGAGATATTTTTTAAATTCAGACTCGTGACGAAGAAAGATTTTAATTACGTAACTTTCGAGTTCATCATTATTATTAGACTTGAGACTTATTGATTACTACAAGAATAAATTAATTCCTCCTAGTTGGATTTCATTTACAAAACCTCATTAATATTTTCGAATAAATGATAATGATGGTTAAACACCTACAAATTGATCAAGAACTAAATTAAGAAATAAAATCAACTGTAAATCTAGAATTACTGATAGAAATAAAAAAATTAAAAAAAATTAATTCTCAAAATCGAGCAATCTGAGCCTGTTCTGCTGAATAAGATAATAATTGTGTGACTAGTTTGATCTTCATGGATCAAATCTATATAATAATAGTGATTTATATATGTTTGTATACAATGAATGAAAGAAATTACTTTTTTTTAAAAAAAAACGCAAAGTATACAAAAACATGCAGTAATTTCATAATTTCCTTTAAAAATAAAACGTTAAAAAATCGACTATTCCTTTTCAGTTCTCTTCTTTTTCCATACCCTTTTTACCCGTTTCCTTTCTTTTTATTCAAAAAAAGTGCATGAAAGTGCACAAGTTTTTCCGAGTGTTTGTCTACCTACTTAAAAAAATAACAAAAAAATAAAAAAGGTATTGGGAACCAATCGGTCCTGCATCCTGCCAAAGAGATCAGACTTGAAAGATAGAAATAATTTATGGAAAATAATAGATTTCTGGTATGTGAAAACATGTTGATGATAAGAAAATGACTTGATAGCAAATTAATGTAGATAGAAGTGTCACTATATTTATTATTACTATTTGTTCCCACTCATGAGTTGCGTAAGAAAGGACAGCTTCAAATTTTAATGCTTAAACAACTTAATTTACGTAGACCAAATAAAAACCTAAAAAAAGGAAAAAATTGGCAGCAAATTACTTATAGTTCATGCATATCAACTTTCCATACCATGAAAAGGGGACAGAGGAAAAAAAGGAAAAAGAAAGAGTTTTCCATCAATTTTAAAAGTTTTCAGCATATATAGGCAACGAATTTTATTTATTTTTAAAATTTGAACATCATTAATTAGATCCGTAGCTGTTCAATTTCTAAAACATAAAAGGTAACAGTTTAGGTAATCCTCAACCTAACTTATTCAAATCATTTGATTTTAAAAAATAGGAGGCCTATCAATAAGCTTATTTGGAAGTAGCAGTTGATATTAAGAAATTACTCTTGGAAATAGAACAAAAATGCCCCTACTTATGCATTACTAAATGTGAGATTTTGCAACTTAGCAAATGCCCAATACAAAATGACTAACAATAATAGAGGAAATAAGTGCACGAGACCCTTTCTTGATAAAAAGTAAAAAGAGATGCAAGTTTCTTTCTTAAATTAAAGAAAGGTTGGTTTAAAGTGAAAAGGATCAATTATATATTGGTTTAACAATTTCATTAATTATATAATGTTGCTTTCAACTAGTTTCTTTACCAATTACAAGTTTTTGTGTGAGAGAGTGCGGATCTTCTTCTACTAACTAGTGTCACTAACTCCTTCGATGAGTGTTAAGTTATAAAAATTGACGTGGATGTGACTTACAATTTAAGACGCTATGCATACTGCAGTTTCGTTATAAATAAATTATTAAGTCGGGTATAGATTCGAGAAGTCTTTTTCATTATAACTCTAATTCTTTACACTATAAATAGAGACAACATTACTTATATTTCTAAGTTGTCACTTGATAAAACTCTAATAAGAAATCCTAGTGTAGAAGTCGTGGAGTAAGTTCAATTGTCAAATCATGTAAATCTTTGTGTTATATGATTATTCTTGTTTTTTTACTCTATTTTCTTGCTTGATTCATTTCCTAACAACAATCTCCATTGCTACTCTTTCAACAAACTCGTCCACTTTTAGCATCGCTTTATGGAATCGAGAGATATATGCTCGAATGCTCTCTCTTTCTTGCTATGTGATAGAAAAAAGGTTAGCCAAACTTCTTTTGGCATGAATGCTTATAGAAAACCGAGCTACTAACTTAGAGCTAAGGTCCTCAAAACTTAGAACAAACTCAAAATCTAGGCTATTATACCATTTCATGGCGA